CCCCCCCCCCCCCACCAACCCTCTCTTCCCATTCACGACCTCTCCTGGACCATCGATGTCCAATGCCAGCCGGGTGTGTCTTTGTGTCTTTGTCCTTCATCCCTATCCGGACATCACGGCATCAAACAATTTAAACCATAGACTTAATTGAATTAAAATATCCTAGACCGGGCACTGAATTGACCGCCGCCGTTTGTTCTCTAAAAAACGCCTCTGCGTTGGTAAACCATGGACAAAGAAAATATGGAGGGCAAAACACAAGTCACGCTATACTCGAAAGTCTGCACAAATCCCCCACCCCCTTCTCATGCCCTTCATTTGGTTCCAACCAGAGTCAAAAGGTGTGCTCCATGGTTTTGTTACTGAAAGCTGTCCTTACCGTGTATATAATGACTGTATGGAAGTGATGGTTGTTCTTTTTGTGGTTGGACTGATTTTTCTTGTTACTGTGTAATAATTTGTCCTGTGTGAATGAATTATTACTTTCAAGTAATCATGAGATTGATGTAAAGCGCTCAGAGCTTATACTCGTATGGAATAGAGCGCTATATAAATGCAATCTATTTATTATTATTATGATCATCATCATCATCATCATCATCATCATCATCATCATCATCATCATCATAGTGAACCGGAACGAGGTCAGAGTTCACTGCTTTTGACGTTACAATACAAGCCTATGCTTTTAACACATCGGAACTCGACGTCGCATTGTGCTCCCATGAAGACAATATCAAAAACACACATCATAACACAAAGAATTGCGATGCACAAAGAGACCCCTCTTTTCACCACCCCCCCCCCCTCCCCCGACACCTCATTTGTGTTCGCAACAAAGTGCATTTCTTTTTTTTTTTTCAAAATAAGAAAACCCGCAAAGAGATCGAAGGGATGAAACAACAACGCAAAAAAGGTCAAGAGAATGAAATTGTAATGTAGGCCTACACAACGAACCAAATCAATAACACGAGATAATGTTCTTACTCCACGAATGTTTACTCATCTAGCTAATGAATCGAAAGTTTATTTAGTGAGAAAGCATAGGCGCTCGAAGAATTCCGCAAACTAAAAACATCGCCTGAAAGGAAAGAAACGAATCAATAACAAGAGAGAAGAAGAAAAAAAAGATCTGCTGTTCGCTCGCTCACTCGCTCGCTCATTCAGCGGACAACCACGGAGGTTCGCCTTATAAAGTACACATCACCAGGAGACATTCTCATGCCAACTAGATCTAGCAGTGGCGGGCAGTCCCCGATTATTGTAAACTAAAAACCGTAGGAATCGAAGGAATCGAGTCAAAACCCAATTATTTTCCACTGTTGTGATTTCTTAAGGGTGTCCATGAATCCAACACCTAGCCAGTTCCGGTTACCTAGTTGGCTTCAAGCAGCTACAGGATCCAGGATAACCTCGATTTTGAAACACGGCGAGACACCAATATTTTCTTCTTTTCAAAAATAAGTTTTATAAAAAGAGGAACGTTTTAATAAATATTGTAATTGGTAAGCGTTGGTTTAAGTAAAAAAGAATCGGAACTTTTCCTCTGTAGCACTAACCGCGGGAATCGGTTCTGGAATCGATTCTTTGCCCAGCTCTACCAACTAGATTTCCCGGGGCAAAGAAAGAAGGAAAAAAAGTCAGGCAGGTCATTCGGAAGCGCGAGCGCCGCCCAAGAGACACTGCGCTACCTCAGAATTACAACGGTCTATCTGCTCAGTACCTTTAGAGAAATTTGAATTCAAATTATGTACATGTATTGCATTTCACTACATATCAATATTTTAGAACGCAATTCTTTGAATATTTTAACAACGACTCCTAATAATCTTACGATTTTGATAGAGCAGTTAGAACATTTGGTTTCTGACGTCATGGTCTTAGCTAGTTTTTTTTTTAGTATAAGTTTTACGGCGCTCGCAAATGCATAAGGTCATATGAGCGCCAGAAGATTAGAGCTGTTACAAGAGAATAACAAACATAAAAAAAAGAAGAAGGGGAGATAAGGATGATAGATGTTGGACAGGAAAGAAGAAGCAAACCACACCAGAGCACCCGCCAACCACCCTCTTAGTTAGGAACTCAAAACGGCGAACAATAACAGATAGAACTTCGTAATTCTGGGGTAGCCATTGGTGCCGTCACACATCGACAGACTGAATAGCTGAGGGGTGTTAACTCTATAAAAACGAAGCACACACACACATATAATACGCACAATCAGCTGAGGGGTTAAATGGGTGGAGAGCCTTAAAACACACCCATCAAACAACCCCAGTTCAGAATGTCCCACTGTTTAATCGAACCAGGTCCACCCACTCCAAAGTCCTGGATGACGCAAACAAAGCTTCCTCTCCCCATACACGCACACATTAAATATTTTTAGTTTGGTAAGAATTAATTTTGAATTTTGCCCGGGTGGCGGCCGAAGACTACTCTTATCGATTTCGGACCACCAAGGGATCTTTAACGTATGCAACTTGCACACAGGACCTCCGAAATTTTTCTCCCATATCCAAGAACGCAATGTGTTAGATCTTACCTACCCTAATATCAAGGGTGTGGATGAAAGACAGTAGTAAGAAGGAGCCAAAGGGTAGCAGTAGAAAGGCTGCAGAAAGAGTCGGGAGCCCAGAGGAGTGGGCAAAGAATGTAAGGGG